ATATATAATATTGTCGGGTAAATTTTAGCTACTACTTGGGATTTTTATAATGTTATATATGTAGATCATTTTAATTTATTCTTAGTGCAGACTTCAATCTTTGAAACTACAGGTAATCTTGTAATGAGTAAAACTGATAGGAGGTTTTGTTCTTACAAAAGGAAATTTATGAATGATTGTTTACTTTGCAAAAGGGTTTGTCATAGAGCAAGCTTTCCTAAAGCATTTCAAATTTAATTTAGTTTATAAAAAATTCATTTACACATTATGTTTCAGGAACAAATTTAGTGAGGAAATGAAAAAAACAAAACAAAAAACTAGTCATAATAAAAAGAGGTCCTTCACAGCGCTAACATTTCTGCATGCTTTTCTTCTTGCAGCACTGATAGCCATTGGGCGGTACAGCATGACAATAGAGACTGTGGATGTTGGATGGTGTAAAGAAATTACAGACCAAGGAGCCACTCTGATTGCACAGAGCAGCAAGTCTCTGAGATATCTGGGACTCATGAGATGTGATAAAGTAAGAGTTTTCTGCCAAATTGTTTTCTTTTTATATATATAGCTAGTAGCTTGATATCATATTCTCCCTCTCTCTCTCTGTATAGATTCTTAAAAATACACTATTATAGCTATGCATCATCAGATGCCTGATTTTCCAAACTAATTTGATATTCTTTTTGCATTTTTCTGTTTAATAATGAATTTTGCACTTATGCAGAAAGGAAAAGCAATTATGCATACAATCAGCTTAGATTTTGCCCTTCTTTCCCTAAGTCCAGGGTCCAAAATTAAAAAAGGTCACATGGCAAACTGCAATTTGTAGAGTCTAGCAGCACGTTTCTGTTCTGGGTTCCAAGTTTCCTGCTACATTGAGAGAACTTTGCCAAATTACTTTTTTACAAGTGTGCAACTTTATTACGTAACATCTGTACAGTTTGGCCATTTGGAGACAAGAAAGGGCCAATGAGAGGATATTATATGGGAGCTTGCCTTTCTCTATACCTGAGATGCTACTCTTAGCATATGATGAGATATGGTCCCAGAAGCTCAAGGCAAGGACTGTGGGACTGGTCAGAGACATGAGCCTGAGTTTAGGAAATGGCAGCCCACACGATATGAAAGCTGAGAAGGAAAACAGTAAAATTCTATGTTGAACACCTGGCACCAAGGAGGCACTTACCCCTGTGCCACTTCCATTTTGTCTCTACAACAATCCTAAGAGAGAGTATATTGTAAAGGGGCCTCCGGCCACTGTGTCTAGATTTCACTCTAGGCCTTCAGAGTCTGTGCCCCAGTGCTTTGGGCACAATCCTAGTGGAGGTCTCCAGGCATGTTATCTGCTTCCCTAAAAACCGTTCATCTTAGATACTTGCTCAAAAAATGCACTCATATACTAATTTACACATGGGCACTACTTTTGCAAATGATAATTAGGGACAAATTTAGCTAGAGAAAGTGAAATTAAATATATATGCCTCTCAAAGGGCATATATTTCCTAAATGCAATAAATTTGGGAGTAAAAACGATGATAATCAGAATCCCTTGTGTGCTCTGTCATTTTTATTAATTGACCTAGTTATTTTCTCCAAATACTTTTAAGATAATGTGCTTATTTTAGACCTTCACCCATAGGTTATGTTTGATGATATTGTATGGGGCCCTCAAGTCAGTTCCTATTTATAGCATACCTATGTACAACAGAAGGAAGCATTGCCTAGTACTGTGCCAGCCTCACAGTCATTGCTATGTTGGACCCATTGTTGCCAAAACTGGGTCATACTATCTCACTGAGGGTCTTCCTCTTTTTCTGTAACCTGCAGCTTTACACCATGCATGATGTCCCTTGTTTAAAAGTTGTATTATATATTCATAGCCGAGCCTAGAAAACAGGCTTACTTTGTAACTAAGCAACAGGAGGGGTTGCAAGTCGCCATCACATCTCACTGATAGCTAAACCTAACACTGTTACTAACCCTGTAACTTTAAACTGACTGCTTTAGAAATACAGTTAAAGGGTCCATAATAGTCAGAGTGCTCTAGGAAGCTTAAACAATGACAACAGAACTCTCCAGCTTGCACCAAAAGGAACTGTTACATGAGAGCTAAATAGCCAAGGCCACCCGAATGTAAGCATTCAAAATGTGTGTATGTATCCAAACCATTCTGAGCCATCACCATATTTCTTCTCTTCACTATTCCTATTTATTAACATCAGCTCCATCTTCAGAAATGAAATGTGGAAGTTGTATGTTCCAGTACAGGAAAAGATTAGTCTAGACATATATGCTGAACTGCATTTATCTGATTTTCACACGTTAAGGAATGGGTACTTTTCTGCACAAATGATCCAACTTAAAGTCCAGAAGTTGACAAGTGGGTGGAGGAAAGGCTGGTCGGATTAACAGTAGCCCTGGTATGGTGCTCTAGGATCAGCACTGGACTGCTAACCACAAGGTCAGTTGTTCACACTCACCAGCTGCTCCGCAGAAACCCTATACAGGGTCTCTATGAGTCGGAACAGCAAGAGAAAACACTGGGCCCAGTTTAACTGTGTGGAGACCTCAGGCTCAAGGCAACCGAGAGCCAAACATGAGAGGTTATATGAGGGTGAAAAAGCTTCCAAACCGCACACAAAGTATAAGTAAAGCGTTGCATGCATCTGGACACCTTGGTTGATTTAAATTGAATGGAAGCCTAGAGTTAAGCTATTGTTGTTTAGTGCCATTGTGTCAGTTTCAACATTAGTGACCATGTGAGAGCAGCTGGTGGGTTTGAACTGCTAACCTTGCAGTTAGCAGTCCAGTGCTTAGCTTACAGTAAGTAGTTATACAATTTTCAAATTTTATATTATGTTATACATATCCTGGTGTGGCACTGCGGGATAATGCATTAGACTGCAAGGTCGGTTTGAACCATATGGCCAGTGGTTCAAACTCACCAGCTGATCCTCAGAAACCCTATATAGGGTCACTGTGGGTCAGAACTGACTCTATGGCACTTACAACAACAACTACATACATATCCAGATTTAAAATATCACTGAGATTCAAAAAGCATTTGAGTAGCAAAGAAAAGAATGTAGGCATTAATGGCCTGAACTCTAGACCCCCAGTTTGGGTTCAGATTTGGATGGCACTTACAGTTGTGGTATCTTGGAATGTTACTTAATCTCAGAGCACCTCCATTTCCTCATGTGTAAAATGGGGAGGATAATAGTAACTATCTTTAGAATTCTTCTGCGCATTTAACTGAGTTAACATTATAGAATCAAATGGACAATTATTGGGATTATTCTTATCAACATCATTATTCTGATTAGTGACCTCTGTTGTGATATTTGAATTTCCAAATGAGACAAAAGTATATTATCTTCTATCTCACTTTGAGAAAGGAACCCTGATAGCATAGTGGTTAAATCATTCAGCTACTAATCAAATATCAGCAGTTCAAACCCAGCAGCCGTGAAAGCTGTGTCAGTCTGCTATCATAGGATTTACAGCCTGGAAGCCCTGCAAGGTAGCTCTCCTCTGTCCTGGAAGGTTGCTATGAGTCAGAATGGACTCACCAGCAGTGGGTTGTTTGTTGCTTTTGGTTATTTCATTTTGAAGCGATATTTAAATTTTAAACTCAGATTAGAAAAGATGTTGCCTTTTTACCTTTTCTTGCCTAAATTTAAAATTAAGGTGACAATTTTCTGTCCAAAAACATCAAGAATTAAATCTCCACAAGCATTGCAAAGGAAATCTAGTATGATACTTTCAGTAATTAATTTACTAAACACCAATTCAGTTATAAAAAGGAAAAAGATTTGCTGTGTGAGAAGGTGAGTTCAAGATAAGACAGTGCAAATAAGGATGAAAAAGAAAATAATGAAAAAAATAAGAATAGGACAGGAAACTGAAAAGTGTATGGCTAGGGTATAGAGTAGAAGATCCCCTCAATCAAGAACCAAAGGAATTTGAACCCATCATTCCTCTCCCTGTACCTGGACCAAAGCCACTAAGCATTAATAAAACTCATTAGCTTGACATCTCCTCTTCCTTTTTGCACACCAATTGGAGCCAAAGGAGAAGATAGTAAGCCTCAGAGGTCAATAAGGAATGTCCTCAATGGGACGCTTGGGGAGAGAGTGGAATCTGTGTGCCCCAGATCTCCTGTGCTGTAATCCTATGACTGATAAATATTGAAGGCTAGTTATATTTTACTTTCACATGCAGTCAATTTAATTTGGGAACCATTTATACTTAACTGGTACTTTTTCTCTCATTTCAGCTTTTGAGAAATTACAAGAATAATAAAATGCATTTTATTTGTTCTAGGAAAATGTGTTGTCTGTCTCTCTCTGATGTTAGATAAACAGAGAACAGATGAGAAGCATTAGTAAAACACATTCTTTGCACATGAAAGCAACATGTTCTTGGACTATCAGACAATGTCTAAACTAACATGCCGTAAATTTGTTTGGCTGCGACATCGGTGACTCCTACGGAAGAGTCCTCCAGCCATTCAACAAATGCAGCATTCCCTGTGTCGATGTAAAGTTAGGAAGTGCATTAAGAAGGCCGTGTTTGAGTAGCTTTTCTGATTGCTGGATGGATAAGCATGTTAGAGGCATTACTTTGGGTTTTGAAGCTGACGCCACTTAATCTCCTAAACTTTAGCGCATTGTAGGAGCCAAGAGAACAAAACTCTGTGTGAGATGGCTTTGATGAATTGGGGTGAGCTTATATTCTTAAAGACTGTTCAAAGGCTTACTTGACCTTGGGAATTAAAGCTGACCTCAAATCACCTGTCAACTTAACGCACATTTATTTGGTGATTTAGTTAAAACAACTTGTACAATTAATGGGGTTCTCTAATAAGAGCAATATGTGTACTATGGTTCCCACAATTATAGGCAGTCAGTGGCTTTCACAACCTCAGTGAATTCTAGATTCTATATAGAGCTGTTTCTTTTAATAATATGATATTTTCCTCGTTTGTTACAAGGTAGTTTGAATGGAGAACAAAACTGAAAAGGACTCCCCCCCCAAAAAAAAAAAAAAAAATCCATGGGAAAGCTGTAGGGCAAATGGCAATGCACTGTTCAAGGTTAATGAAAAATGTTTGGGGTAACAAGGTTGATGAGAAGGGAGAGAGCATGGTGGCAAGGCATTGGCTGAGAAAGCAGACCTGGCCAGAGGCAGCCTGACTGGTTTGGGAAACATCGGTGATAAAATGTCGTGGAGAAAACCTCTACAATGTGTGTTAATACAGAAGTCTGGAGACAGAGGGCCTGAATTATGAGCAGTGAATCACATCATAAACGTAGCAATTCTTAAATACCAAACCCTTGTGAAAAGCAGTTGGATGAAGAAATGCTAGAGCTTTGAAAAGCTCCCTTTCACTTTCTTTTTTTCTTTTTCTTTTTTTTAACTTCATGCAGAACTAATTTTATACACTGTTCATTTGATTTGAAAATGCCAGCGTCTGGGGTATCATTAAAGAGCGTTATTGAGGGAGCATTCTTGGCAAAACAT